GCCGCCGCGGGCGCGATGCTGCCCCCGGCGCCCGCCAAGCTGAGCGACTGGGAGCTGGCCGACCTTCCCTTCCTGGCGGCCTACTTGCGGGACCGCCTGCGGCGCCACGACGACGAGGCGCCGCTGGGCGCGCCGGGCGCGGCTGAGCTGCTGCTCGATCAGCTCGAAGAGGGGCTCCGCGCGCTGCACGCGCAGCAGGCCGGCGCAGGCGCGGGCGCGCCCGGCGGCGGCCCCGGCTGGCTGGCGCCGGCGCCGCCGCCGCAGCAGCTGCGACCGCTCGCGGCGGAGGAGCTGCCGCCCGGGTTCGAGGTGCACGTCCGCGCGTTTGTGGCGCCGGGGGAGCTGGTCGAGGCCTGCGCCACGGAGGGGCAGGGGGAGACGGAGGGGCGCAGCATCAGCAGCCTGGCCGCGCTGGACGCGGCCGGGGGCGCGGGCGGCGTGGGCGGCGGCGCGGGGGCGGCCGGCATGGGCGGGGGCGGCTATGGCGGCGCCCGGCGCGCCAGCGGGGCCGGCGACGACGCGGTGGGGGCGGCGGGCGGGGGCGCGGCGCGCCAGATGCAGCAGCAGGCGCGGGAGCAGCAGCAGCGGGAGCAGCAGCAGCGCAAGGAGAAGCAGAAGAAGGCCAGCAACCTCAGGAACAAGCTCTTCTCCAAGAAATGACGCCGCGTTCTTGACGAGAGGGAGAAACATCCGAATTGGCTCTCCGCCTTCCGGCCCACTTGCCTTGCTTGTGCCCGCTTGCTGGCCGTCTGGTTGCCGGCTGGGGTCCTGGAACCCAAACAACTGCTGCCGCCCTTGCTGCGGTGCCGTCCCACACACACTCTCGCTCACCCTTCCTCGCTCCTTGGAGCCCATGCGTCCCACCCAAGCCAACCCCATGCTTTTGCCGATGCATGCCCTTGTTTCTTTCCTGCACGTACTCACACAAAGCCACCTACAGCCAGCGCTGCAACATGCCCTGCGCCCGCGGCTTAAATGTAACATTCATCACGACTGGCGGATCACGGGCAACATAGCAGCACGCCGCGAGAGGGCTGCGGCAGGGTCGAGGTTTCTTACACCCCGCCGCCTTGCTTGGCGCCACGGATGCTGGGCCGCCTATCCCAGCTGACAGACTTGGCGTGGGTCTGGGCTTCTGGCGAAACCAATGCCACATCAGCAACATGCCGTTGCGCGCAAGCGCGGCCGCGTTGGATAGCAAGGTCAGCATCTAGCCTTTCGCAGTCAAGTTCCTCTTTCAAGCGAGCTGGGTGAGTGACCGGGCTGTCGCCCCAGCCGCGCGGGCGGCGCGTGTCGCAGTTGCGCATGGCCCCTGGGGCACGGCCCCCCTGAACGGAAGGTAGGGCTACTGCCTCGCTGCAGCACATTACGGCACCGACTTTCCGTGCAAGTGACATGACATTGTGGAACTACGATTTAACATTACATGGCATCCCGAGCGGACGGCTCAGCAGTTGCTGCATGCCCTTGACAGGGACCCGTGGACCAGTCAAAGCACTCGACAACAGTCAAAGCACCCAGGCCGATGCGATTCGAGGGCCTCTGCCACTATTTAATTCAGGAAATGTCACTTTTGAAAGCTCTCATGGGATGTACATCCGTCTTGATTGCCACATTCTGTGAACAGCGCCGTCCGCAGCAGTCGTGCTTGGTGACACCGCCGTTGCCTGGGTGACACCGACTCTTGCAAACATGCCGGCAAGCAACAAGCTGATACTACTGTATAGCAAGTCCTTAATTGAACTTGTCGCGTCCTTTCTGGTTTACAGGTCACACACAACAGCGCGCACACGAGCACAAAGTTTCTCGATCTGTGTGCAAACACGTCCATTGACTAAAATGACCGGATTGGTTGCCTGATACGTTATATTATAGATCTGCACGGGAGGCTTGCTCGTGTACAGATGCGTGGTGCCGCAAAAACAATGCTCTCCTCCCCAGTTGCATTGAAAACTCGTGTAGCGGCGGGACGGCTCCCAATGATGCGCATGGCAGCCGCCCCCAGCCGCAGCCAGGCCACCCGTGCCTGCCGCCCCGCGGCGGCGGCACCCGCCGCGCCGCTTGCGTCGCTGTCGCCGCTGCCTCGCCCTGCCATTCGCGGCACCCGCCACGCGGCGTCCACATCTGCCGCGGCCACCGACCCAGCCACCACCACCAGCGGCGCCGTCGCCGCCGGTCCCGCCGCCGCCGTGGCCACCGGCAGCACCACGCTGCAGGTGACGCGCGCCAATTTCCCAGAGGCCCTGGCCCAGGTTCGAGCCGCGCTGTCGGCCTGCCAGTTTTTTGCGTTTGACTGCGAGATGACCGGCCTCACGCTGGACGGCCAGGAGGACAAGCTGCTGGACGACGTGTTTGACCGCCACGAGCGCACCGTGGCAGCTGCCCAGCAGTTTCTCGTCTGCCAGCTCGGCGTCTCCGCGTTTGTCTGGCGCCCCGACGGCAGCGGCGGCGGCAGCTACGAGGCGCGGACGTTCAACTTTTATGCGTTCCCCACGCCCCGCGGCGAGTTTGACCCGCGGTTCGTCTGCCAGGCGTCCAGCCTGGCGTTCCTGGCCTCACAGGGGTTTGACTTCAATAAGGTGGGGGGGCGCCTCCTTGATACACTCCGCGCATGCATTGATACACGCAGTCACAGTTACATGCATGGGGATCAAGGGGCCGGGGCCGACCCATGTGGTGCTGGGATCTAGGGGTGGATTGCTCGTCGTCGTGAGGGTTGATGCAGTAGCAAGCGGTTTGAGGGGACCCCCCTGCTGGGGAGCTCCGATCCGCACGCCCCGGCAGGCAGGCGCAAGGCGGGCGGCCCCAGGGCGGGATTGGGCGTGCCAAGCGCCACGCCCGGCCCGCGCGCTCGAGCCGGCCGGCGCTGCGGCGAGGCAGGCGGCCGGCAGACGGCGGCGCCGCGGGAGGCGCCAAGCGGGGCGCGGTGCTGTGGCGCCCTTGCCCGCGGTTTGACCGGCAGTCGCCTGTGCGGAGGGACCCATTCTCTCAGCAATGCTGTGCCTGTGCCCTGCCCTCAGATGATCTACGAGGGCGTGCCCTACCTGCCTCTGTCGCGGAGGGACCGCGCGGCGGCGGACGCGAAGCAGGCGCAGCGCAGGGAGGTGCGCATCAGAGGTGCTCGACGTGCGTGCCTGGGCCCGTGCTGTGCGGCGCCGGCGGGCGCGCCCCCGCAGCCGAGCGCGCGCTCTGCGCTTACATCAAAGCAGCACTGCAAACCTTGCACGCGTTGACCCCGTCAGGTCGTCACTGCGCACCACCACCCAGCCGTGCCCGAAACAGCACGGCCACCGCCGGTCGGTCCGACGCAGCCCAGGGATGATACAGAGA